GGCGGAGCAGGGCTTTAGCTCACTCTTGCCTGAGATGATGGCATGTTGGGGTCTCGAGAGGTGGTTGCTGTTTTAAGGAGGTGGTTGCCGTGTATGTTTGTCCGTTTATTGGCTGGCTTGTTTGTTTTTCATGTGTGTGTGCTGGCAGGGGGAAAGAAGGGGTGTGTGTGTTGGGAGGTGGAAGCGCAGGTGTGTTGATGTGGGGAGGAGGAGGAGGAGAAGTAGTTAATTTAGCAACAGCGGCAGGGTCCGAGTGAAAAGGTTTGGCACGGCATTGTACGGCGTTGTACGGCAGTGGCGGAGTTGTAATGTAACGGTTGGGTGACATGAAGCGTAGGGCTCTCATGTGGAGCGGTAGGACAGCAGCCGTGGCTGCGGCCGTGCGGGCAGCAGGGGGATGTTGCGTGGTGGTGGTGGTGGTGGTGGTGGTGGCAATGGACGGCTGGAATAGCTTTCCTCGTGCCTCGCGAGTGTGTTTATGTTGTTGTGTGTGAATGTTTTGCAGCCGGATCCAAGCAACCGGATCCAAGCAATTTTATTGAGGCGAGTCCCATAGTCGTTGTCGTCCCCTTGGGGTTTGACGCTTCTTGGGCTTGTACGGCCCCAAAAACGATCTAAGAGGCTCATGAGCCGACGAGCTAGAAAGAAGAACTGAAAAAGGAGATGAGGGGTTATGATAGGAGATTAGGAAGTTTGAACTTGGTAGTGTAAGGCGGGGATTTGCCTGCTTTCAAATTTCCATAACAGAGACAGTGGCCGGGAGCAGAGACGGAGCCATCCCGAAAGAAAGCCGACATTTGTAGGGTTCTTGGTATTTGTGTAAAATCCGAAGTTGAGAAACCGCTGACAAAACGTTCGTTGCAATCAACCGACACGTTGAACAAAGTCAAAAACGTAGCGGTCATTCCATATGCAGTTTGCCAGCCAGATTACCGATTTACGCATAACTTGGTTGTGCCTTAATCGTGGATTGGTGATCGTGGGCCCTCGCGATTACAAGTTTGCGACGTCTCCGTCGTCAACCATCGCATAACCAACGCTTTTGCGACACCTGCCATTACTTGCTGATACTGTCTTTCAAAACATTACGTATAGTGTCGAATAAAAAAAGACGCGTGCTTAGGATGCTTTGCTTGCATAGTTCTGGCTCCGTCATAAATCACGTAGATAGGACAAACACTTTCGCGACGTCTGTCCGCTATTTGACCACGTTTGCCCAATGACTATCAAGGTGCGTGTGTAAGACGTGCTTGGGCATTCCCGCTTGAAGACTTGTTATGTTCGCCCCCCGCCCCGCAGTTCGTGCATGCTTTTGTCGATGCATTTGCTGAAAGTTTGTGACATTTACATTTCCGGGCGTCCTCCTTTTGTTCTACCCGCTTACAGAATACAAAGCGCACTTGCTCAGGCAGCCGTACATTACAGCATCCGGCACTTCCCTCGCCCAATTTTAGCTGCTACTGCTGCTTGCCCACCTTGTTCCTGCCTCACCCCCTCCTCTCCCTCACATCCCCTTCTCCCGCCACGTAGACTCCACCCGCAGGTCCGCTCTTTTGAACAGTTATTTATGGTCCGTGGTTCTCTCTTGTTATTTCTTGTCTGTCTCCAATCCCAGGGAAATCCGGGCTCACTCACCGTCTGCAGCACCTCTTTGAAAGCTTTAGAAACTGCGCCGAAGCCCCAAATGGTCAGATCTCCAAGCACGTCCCCTAGACTCCAAATTCTCATCCCCCATCCCCCGCCACGCCCCGCAAGCTGTGCCCCCTACCTCTGATGCCCCCCTACGTGTTACTACCCGGCCCTCCATCCATACACCTGTACACCTACGCATGCATACATACATACGTACGTACATACTTACACACACCTCCAGGATTTGGTGCTGCTAGGCGGGGGTCACAGCCACGTAGAGGTGCTGCGAGCCTTTGGACATTACAACCGCAACTGCAACCGTAACAGCCGCCATAACCGAAATTCCAGCAACAGCAGCAGCAGTAGTAATAGCAGCAGTAGCGGCGGCTACGGCAACGAGCACCGCCTGACACTGATCAATCGTGGGAGGTTCACGCCATACAGCGGCATGCTGCCAGGCTGGGCATCTGGGTTTTACTCGTACGGCCAATGTCATATTGACTTGCAGCGCCTGGCATCATACGCCGGGGCGCGATTGGTTCTGGGAGAGGCTACCTGGGTCGATATCCGGGTGAGAAGGGTTTTAAACGGGTTTTAAGTTCAATTAGGGGATTTTTTGGGGGAAGTTTAGGTTGGGATGGGATCTTGGGGTTGTTGTGTGTACGTGTGTGTATGTGTGTTTTGGTTGGGAAGGAGGACGGGAGGGAGCCATTGCGGCGGATGCAGACGCAGCGCTGGCGGCGGCGGCGGTTTTCGGTTTATGAAAGCCGATCTTTTCCCCTTTTACCCCTTTCCCCTTTCCTTGCGCTTGTTTTTGCTGTCTGTGTACTAGTTTGCCCGTCTTTATGTCGGTCGCACTGCCCGCCCTCACGATCTGCATCTGCAACAACACGAAAATGAGAATGACGAGACGGAATTAGGCGACGTGTTAAGGATGTGCCGTACGGCATGGCCATTGTCGTACATTGCATGTTACTTGGAAGGCTCGCAAGGTATACTTCGGCGACGGTGGTGAGGAAGGTGTGAAGAAGGCAACGCCGGCGCCGCCGGTGGCCGCAGGGGTAGTTCCACAGCCTGTGCCGTACGACGTGCTATCGATCAATATTGGTATCGCGCCGGGGCGCGCTGCTGTACCAGGGGTGGACGAGCATGCCACGCCCGTGAAACCCATTGACGGGTGAGGGGTGAGGTGGGGGGAGGTGCCCTGCGGGTGGGGGGAGTAATGCCGGAGGTTGGGGGGAGGAGTAGATGCCGCGCTAGATCTTTTTAAGGGTTTTATTGCTGGTTTTAGGGGTTTTAGGTTTTCGCAGCCTAAGGTTTTTGGGTATAGCGTTGTCGGCCCTTCTCCGGAGTTGGGTTGTGAGCCCTCTGGCAGCGGGAGGGAGGGAGAGTATCAAAACACAAGGAAATGAAAAGGCACACGCCTGGACGCGATAAGTGCAGGTCACCTGTTTTTGATACACTGATGTATGATAGATATTTTCAAGTCGCGGGGTCGGTATGTATGTATCTGAAAGGAAACTCCTTCCGTCTTTTGGAAGCCAGATTCGGCGCACTAAGGGTATCGTAAGTAAGTAAGTATGTATGTGACTAAGACGTACCTCTCAGGGGCCCCTCACACATACGGACATTGACATGCACCGCACACTCGGTTCTCCATCCTTTGTTGTGTCGTGCAGCTTTGTACGGCAGTACGAGCAGCTGCTGGAAAGGTACAGGTAGGTGAGGGGTATGCGTGTGCGTGTGTGGCGCTGTGGTTGGTTTGGCTCCAAAAGGGGAGCGTGGGCCGGCCGGGAGTTAGTTGCAACCCGGACGAGAAACATAGTGTACATACACGACAAGTGTACGGCGGTCACATAAACACACAGCCCGTACACATCATACATACAGACGGACAGACATACACAGGTAAAAAAAGACAAGAAATCAGGATGTGTTTTTATGGTCCTGGGTGTCCTTTGTCCTCCCATACTGTCGATATCCTGAGGTGCCAGCGACATGAGTGTATAATGTAGTGCTGGTAGGGCGCGGGGGGGGGAGACATCCCCGGGAGGTCCTCGAGGTAAAACCCGAAACAACCTTCCGCCACCCTTTCCCCGCCCAACGATACACAACACCTCATCCACCTATCACATCGCCGGCGCCTTTATTTATACTTGCAACAAATATAGGGCTGCTGCTGCTGCCACTGATATTGCTGCTACTGCTGCTGCGGCGGCGGAGGCGGAGGCGTTACAGCCAAGTCACGAGGATCTCGACGTCGTCCAAGGTGATCAACGGAAATAATACTAGGGCCGTTCGCATCACATGCATGCGCTGCGGCAACCCGGCTTTGTACCGCTGGCGGCGTGTTGGCAGTTGTCTCGTTGCTTTTTGCACCACCGTCATCATCGCCATCATTATCATCGCCGCCATTATCATCAATATCATGGTCACCATTATCTGATTCCCTCTCCTTTTGTTTGCCCTAGCCCTAGCCCTTGCGTCTTCAGGCGCCGGGGAGCCTCTCTTGCGTGTGTGTATTGTTGGCGGGGGCGCGGGGGGAGTCGAGCTGGCGGCCGCTGTACGGCACCGGCTCGAGGTACGTTAGTCCTCCCTCTCTTCTACTGCAAAATCGTCATGTTGATTGTCCAACTGACATTGTATTCGTGCTCAACGAATTTCCCATTGATTTGTTTCAAATCCCATATCTATTTTTTTGAACACACACACACACACACACGCACATACACACACAAACACACACATACACTTCCGCACGACACATGTATGAATGATAATGATCTGAGCCGCGATGAGGGAAACGTCACGGCATGTGTGTGTGTGTGTGTTTGTATGTGTGTGTATGTCTCCAAGTCCTCCATTTGTCCGTACTCTTAATTAGGTAATCTCAGGCCTTGGTTGACTGATGGACTGACATACGGGTGGACAGGCAAAGTGAGAGAAAGACTGACTGGCAGACAGACAGATAGACAGACATAGGTATACATACATGCAGGCAGACAAGGTTTTACCACATACCATGCTGACGTCTTCCGAGCCTCACACTCGAGATAGTCCTCCTCGTCGTCTCATGTCGTGGTCGTGTTGGCCAACAAACCCAAACAGGCTCCCTCCACACACCCCCTTCGTCCCCCCGCCCCCTCTTCCGCAACTCCCGTGGACCCCGGGTATCGCTTTTTTGTCGCACTGTATGTCGTACTCTGTTTCGTACTGGGTTGTCGTGCTGGCTGGGTTTTGGGCAGGAGGAGAGACAGCGGGGAGGTTGGGCGGCGGAACGAGCGTCCGTCACCGTATGGTAGGCGGGTGATGGCGGGTGATGGGGGGTGGGGAGGGGGGGTGTAACCTAGATGAGGTGGAGATGGGGGTGGGTAATGTGGCAGGGCGGGGGAGGAGGGCGATTTCAAGGTAGCTTTCGTACCACGACAAAGCTCCCCCCTATCCTCCTTTCAACCCAATTTTGCCTTTACCCCCAAAACACACACACATACACACACACACAGACTGTCGCCCCATCCTCCGTCCCCGCTCCCCCCCCCCCCCCATCTCCCGCGCGGCAGCCTCCTCTGCCGGGGCGGCCTGCTGCCAGGCCACCCGCCCCATGTACGGCGGCTTGCACGGCAGCTGCTGACTCAGAGGGGGGTAGAGGTGCGATCTGGGGACGCCGTCGTCGAGTGAGTGTCCCTTAATGACCCAATGGGCCATGCGAGTGTGTATGTATGTATGTATGTATGTATGTATGTATGTATGTATGTATGTATGTATGTATGTATGTATGTATGTATGTATGTATGTATGTATGTATGTATGTATGTATGTATGTATGTATGTTGTTACAGGGTGGTTAAGCTTTACCAGCGGCCCCCTTTCCCGAGGCAGTTCCCTGCTCTCCCCTGCTAGAGGGGCACCCTAATCCGTTCACCCCATCCGACTTCAGAGTGTATTCTTTGGGTTCGGCAACTCACCACCAGCATCCAACCAAATCTAGCGGATCAACGGCGCCTCAATTTGGTTCCTGGTCAGCTCGCAAGTTGATATTATCATGTCCTACACCGTCCATGTGATGGGGGATCCACCTCCCATTTCATTACCTCTCAAACACACCCGTGAGGTCGGCAGACGGAATAGAACTGAAACACTCCGGTAGCAGAAGTCAGGCCTTCACCTCTGCCAGCCACCTACCTATAAAATATGTCTGCTGACATCCAGATTCGAACTGGAGACCTCCCGCTTACTAAACGGGTGCTCTATCCAACTGAGCTATGCCAGCTGATATGTGGGTTTTGATGGTCGGTTTACTTCCTTTAGTTGGTTATTGTTTGGTTTGTGATGTATGTATGTCACGTGTGTGTACGGAAGTGAGAGGGCGGGGGACGTTTTGCTGAGGGTTAGACTTTAAGACGACAAGTTATCGGGATGGCTTCGTCGATGACTTGTGACGTGATGCTTTTGTGGCCGTTACGGCAAAATCCGGCAGCGAGTTTTATCTCTTTTCAATTTGCTCTGATTGCCCACACACATACACGCACATACACGCAGATAAACACACACACAGACACGCATCGTAGAATGTCAGACTAACTTCAGCACGACAAGGCAATTAAACACAGTTTTTCAAACCGTATTTCTCAGCTTCAGCTTCTCTTTCCAGTTTGTGTTCCTTCTACCGGGTCTAGTAGGCGTTACAAGAGGAGGTGGGTAGGTAGGGTACATTTCTTACCTCCCCCCCCGCCTGTGAAGCAGGCCTGTATAGATTTCAAAAGGGAAAGAGATGAGGGAGACGCACAACAAGTACGACGAAAGCTGAGGAGAGGGGTTTTGTGTTTTTTTGATGTTCGGGTAACGCGTCTAACCGCCAACCGCTAACGGCTAACTGTTACTACAGCCACGTGGTTTCACCTATACATATGCAGGGTTAAAGCTAACGAGCTACTGCTCCGGAGTGGCAAGCGGGTGCCGTACGACGAATGCCTGTGGTGTACCGAAGCAAGCCCGGCTCAGTGGTTGCGCCGTACAGGTCTTCCGACAGGTGCGAGGTGTGGTGTTTTGGGAAGGCGGGAGTTCTCAGGGAACTACCAAATTACACGATAGTGATGGTGATAGTGATAGTGAATAGCTGGAAGAATCCCCGCCCATCCTGAGCGCAGTATGTACAGTAGGTCACTTTTTAATCATCAGTCCTTAACTCTCAAACCTCAAATTCCAACTGCTAACAGACTCTGCTGGCTTCCTGTCCATCAACGACAAGTTGCAGTCCGAGGAGGGCCCCTCGGTGGTGCGAGGGGAGGAGGGGGAGGGGAGGGGAGGGAGGGGGAGGTGCGAGGGCGGGGGGGGAGGGGAGGAGGGGGAAGGGAAGGGGGGGAGGTGCGAGGGCGGGGAGGGGAGGGGGGGGGAGGTGCGAGGGCGGGGAGGGGGGGGAGGGGAGGGAGGGGAGGGGAGGGAGTATGTGTGTGTCCGCTCTTTGACTTACGTGGTGACGGCTATACGGCTAACCTGCTAGACCTCCCAACCTAAACTAACCTAAACTAACCTATCACCTATCACTCCTGACCTAACCTGGGAGAACCCCAGTTGTGTTCAGGAGCGAAAGCTGTCTTCCTCTTTCTCCTCCTCCACCCTGCCCCTCCGGGTAACCCTGGTCAACCCGTCCACTCGTCCACCCGCCGCTCTTCCACCCGCCTGTTGAAAGCAAAAGGTGTTCGCGTCCGGGGATGTCGCGACGTGTACAGCACACCCGAGACCCAAGGCGGGCGTGTACGCTGTACGGCAGGTAGGTACGACGGCCGGGCGGGCCAGGGTGAGGTAGCGGCGGGGCTCAATCAACCTGCAGCGCCTTTCACCACGACTTTAGACACCTTTATTGCACTTTACATGTAACTAATATGTGCTATGTTGTTTATATTATATCGCTTATAATCAGCAAAGCGCTACGGACCCCCCCGGAGTCCTAGTACTGCTGTCACATTTCACTGGTGTATGCGAGTGTCGGTCACTTATATATGTTACATACATACATACATACATACATACATACATACATACATACATACATACATACATACATACATACATACATACATACATACATACATACATACATACATACATACATACATACATACATACATACATTCCCGTTTGAGTACTTTTCAATTTAGACCCAGTGCTGTGGAAGGGCGCGGACTTGTGCGGTGTTACCCCCTCGACGGGGGCTATCTCCCCTGGACTAGCCCAGGGAGGGAGAGGCGGAGGAGGGTAGTAGTCTCAGGAGGCTGTTTGGCGTCTTGTGGTGTGAGCTCTTTGCGCTCTTTTTTGCG